TACACAGAGTTAAACCAAACAACATGAATCAAACATGCACTTTATTTATTTCCACTAAATAACAAAAGTACATCAAATTAGATTGAAGCTAAGGGCATACATAAACTGTCTAACATGAATAAATGCTTATTTTAAGTAATACCTAATAGGGACTCAATCCTAACCAACACAACCCATTTATGGAAGAACATCTAGTTGATGCCAAACTAATTTAGGCCAAGTTTGGGAGTGCTTAAAAATAAGCATTTATTTGAATTAGCACTTATGTTGGGTCGAAACTATACCAATAAGCACTTATTGGCATTTGAGAAATAAGCCTAAAACAAGTGCTTATTCCAAGAATAAACGCTTATTTGAGAACCCAAAATTCAGGCTTATTTTCAAGTGTTTATTTAATAATCACTTGTTTCCTCTTTGGCCTATCTTAGCCTTCCATGAGTGCCTTTTCACCAAATGCTTATACATTTATTAGAATAAACACTTATTTTGGGTGGGGACCATACCAATAAGCACTTAATGACATTTGGAAAATAAGTGCTCATTTTGAGAATAAGTGCTTAGTTGAGAAGCCCAAAATTCAGTTCAAGTGCTTATTTCCTTCCTATCCTATCACCCCTATTTGAAATAAGTGCTTTTTCACCAAATGCTAATGAGCGATTATTTAGAATGAGCAATTATTTTTAAGTACTTGGGTATTGTTTGATTTCACATAAAATAAGTGCTTATTCAAATAAATATTTAAAATAAGTGGTAGGATCACACAATAAGTGGAAAATAAGTAATTGGTCCTGTTTGGCAAATAAGTGCTTATTCCTATTTTTTTGAGATGAGTTTGTCCCTTAAAAAATTTCAAAACCCCCATATTGCACTCATGAATGGAGAAAACCCTCTTGTCTTCTCCATTTGCGCAGGGAGGTTATTGTAGCGGTGGGTGTAACAAAGGAGGCAACCGATGACTGAGAAAACGACTAAGAACTATCAATAGGTGCATTGTTTTCAGTTTTTATTTGTTTCACTTGCATCTACACTCCCTCTTTCTCTGTATTTTGGGTTTTTTTAATGCTAGAAACCAGATCTGGGTGTTTTCTTTTCATAGATATGGTTTTTGAGCAACAAATCGATCGAAAACTCACCAAAGATAAGTAGGGGTGAGCATTATTTGATTAAAACTTAAAACAAAAAAAAAACAAACTTAAAATTTTGGTTTCATTTATTTTCGGTTCAATTATTTTGGTTTTCGGTTAATTTGGTTTATTTATTTCGGTTTTGGTTTTTAGAATTAGAAATTCAATTAACTAAAAAAACCGAATTAACTGAGCTTTGCTATATAACATGTAATATATAATATAATAAAATTATATATTATGTTATAATATATATATGTAATATATTTAATATGGTATATGTTATTGAAATTCAGTTTTAACTAAAATAACTGAAAAACCGAACCAAAAATTTTGGTTTTGGTATTTCGGTTTTCCTATAATTCGGTTCAGTTTTTAACTGAATAAACTGAATGCTCACCCCTAGCGACAAGAGGTATGTCTTCCTAATCGAACTACTTGGGTCATTTTTAGCGATATTATTTTTTTGTATATTCTAGTGAACAAAACATAAAACTATAACTTTTTTTTAGATTTTTTAGGGATATTATTCAAATAATAATGCATTGTTAGATGCTTGTTGTTATTATTATTATTATTATCATTATAATTTATTATATTCTTCTTCTTCTTCTTGAAAGTACTTTTTAAAAGTACATAAAATTTAGGGGTGCAAATGGATCGGATCATGATCTGATCCGATTCTAGTCCTATCATGATCTGTATCGGATAACCGAATTCAGATATGGATCCCCCTGTCTCAATCCAATATAAATGTCTTTTATTTACTTATTTATTTATAATATATGTATATATATGTTATTTATATTGCATTTTTTTAAACTTTTTATATTATTTATTTTAAAAAAACTTGTATATATATGATGAAAATAGTTGAAATAATACTTGTATTTTTTATTTTTCTTTATTTAAATTTTTATGTTTTCTTTTCCTTTTATTAGCTAATTATTATTTTTTAAAATTAAATTAGATCATATCAGATTCAAATATCCGACGTCTTGATTATAATCGAATTTGAATCAGTATTTATAAGATCTGATTGGATCTTCGAATCGATTTCAAATATACCCTAATTCAAATCAAATCCGATTTGTTTGCATCTCTAATAAAATTTACTCTTTAGACGTATTCTATATTATTTTGAAATAGCATTTATTACTTATTTATATTGTTTTTCATTATTTATTATTATATTATTATTTTAATGCTAGTATTTATTATTTATTATTATTGTTGTTATCATTAAGGGCGGAGCCAAGTATATTGGTGGGGTTCCTAGCCCCCCATGCTTTTTGTTAAAACCATGGTTACCTAGTGGAGGTTGGGTTAGAAACATAATTCCCCCCCTCTCCCCTCCCCTAAATTTTGAACTAAAATTGTAAAGGATCTCTCTCTGAGGCTCTCCAATTCCCAAAATTTAATAAAAAAACTTACTTTTTCTCGATAAAAAATCTATAATAAATCCAAACCATTTTCTCGAAACCCTATTTCTTCTTCTCCCTATCTCATTTTCTTGTTTAATCCCCCCCTAAAGAAAATTCTTAGTTCCACCACTGGTCGTCATCATCATCATCATCATCATCATCATCATCATCATCATTATTATTATTATTATTATTATTATTATTATTATTATTATTATTATTATTATTATTATTATTATACCATGTGGGGCCACGTGGCATTCCACATGCGTTACATGTAGATCCATATTTATATGGATTTGTGAAATAGGGCTAAAAATGTTATTTTCACAAAATCAAGTACTTATTAGACAAATAGCTTACTAAACATCCTCACCCCAATAAATACTTAAAATAAGTATAAATGATTTAGGAAAGAGATTGCCAAATAGCAATGCATACTTATTTGACTAAAAAAACCAATGAGGGTGGCCCATTGGTATGTTAACTAGTTCTCTCCGGTATTGACGTGAAATCAATTCCTGCAACCGCTAATTTGGAAAATGAAAAAAGAAAAGAACTTATTTCTCAAATCATCTATTCATCAAACATAATCTTTTTTTTTTGAATAAGCACTCCCAAACTTGACCTTAAGGCTCAGTTTAGAAGGAGTATAAATGCAAATATGTAGAGTGCAAAACCTTATATTTTGCATTATTTTACATATTTGCATTTGTACTCTTTCCTAACTCGGCCTAAGTTCCGGACCTACACCAATATTAAATAAACTTATCAGTTATCAGACCCACAAACTGAATTTGTTCTTGGACTAAGTTCACGTTGACCGCACCACACCGCACCGCACCCTGGCTCGACTCATCAGTCATTAAAACGCTTATATATCTTCTCGAACCCCTGTTACAACCAACCGTGTTTGGGCCGTCCAAGTTCAAGCGGATTTTCTGCCCTCCACTCGGACAAAGCGCAAAATGGTTCGTGTTCATTGCGTTATTTTGTCGAACAGCTCTAGCAGTCACTCGTTCCCTTTTCTTTTAAAAGTTCTGATCCTTGCTTCTCAAATTCGTTTGTTTATTTTCTGATAATTTCAAATTCATTTGTTTGTGCTTGCAGTCAGTTACGTTGCATACAAATCTCGGCGACCTAAAGTGCGAGATCTCGTGCGACGAGGCTCCCAAAACAGCCGAGGTTCGAGCTTAAGCTCTTTTTGGAACTTCATCTGATAATTTCGGTGATATGAAACTGTTTCTTAATTATGGCTCGATGGATAAATGAAGTACGAGCTAGATTAGATTAGAAATCTCGAATTCATCGTCTTATCTTTGCAAATACCTATTCTTCTTTCTTGTACTTTTTTTGGGTGTGTTAGTGAGCGAGTTTAGTTTGGAATTTAGGGCTGTAATATCATCGCTTTATGGCCATTACCAACTAGACAAGCAAACAAGTAGTAATTCTGAATGTCAAACAAACTAATGGTTTACGCAAACCACCAAGTAGTTGTTTGGCTTGAACCTTGAACAATCAACATAAATAACTTACATTAATGTCAGGTCCTAGTATTAGATGGGATATTTCAAATACAAACACCCGATGAATCTACTCTGGTATTTGGGATTGGTTCTTCTCACCCCAGGGGTTGTAGCTTCACCTTATTTATTTATTTATTTATTTTGAGAAAAGACACGGTCTTGGTGTTGCCTTTGTAGACATTTTACTTAACCATTGGCGGAACTTTACAATTCTTTGTTGTATGCTTGCTGTATCAACGATTGCTATGGACTGCTTATATCAGATACAGGTATTTGGTGCTTAGAAAGAGCTGCAAAACGAATTTATCTACCTATTACATAGTAACATTTTTATATTTGATATAAAACGTAAACGTAAAACGTAAAATGCTTAGCAACCCTGCCACAGTCTTATTTGTTCTTGTTAGGAGTCTTCTTACTAATTGCCACCTGTTTTAATCCCAACCAAACCAGCATACAAACTGGTAGGTGGCTAACCAGTTTGCAACTCACTAGGCTTACTAGCAATTTAGGTAACTATGGTATTAACTTGTAGAGCAGGTCTGATGGTTCTAGCTGTCGAAATACAATATTACATGAATCTAAACCATTATTGGCATCCAGAATATTGATTTTCAGACAGTTTCAAGTAGGTTAGAACATAAAATATGTTTGACCAAGTCAACTGCAAACTGAAACCAATACCTAACCAATTTGGGGCTTAGAGACTGTCTGAAGGGTTCTGTTTGGTCCTGTCCAGTTTCCAGAACATTGGTTTAGGTTGTATTGGATCTTGAACAGTTTCATTGGTCAGAGCCCAGCTCTCCTAAATCCTAATAGATCAGGCCATAAGAGATATCTTTGTCATCCCAAGTTGCTGACCTAATTGGTCATCGACTGATTTAGGTGTTCTTTAGACATCTATTATGGTATGCTAATTGTTATGCATGTGTTTTCATCAAGGTTCTTAACTGTGTGAACCAACTGTAGAGATTCACACTTAGATGGTTGACGTTCATGTTCTTCTCATGATCAAAGCATTGCTTTCAGGTTGTATGCATTCTGTCCAAGTAAAAGATCTTCCAGTATGTTTCTGCTTCCATGGTTAACTTTAGTTTCCCTATATTATCTTCAGGTCTACCACAAGGTATAATGTCCTCTATCATGTGACGTTATCCTGGTATTATTGTAATTGTTTTTTTTTTATTTATTTATGATTTCATTTACAGAAAGTATGACTCTTGATAGAGAACATTGAGTTGAGTTGAATTGTATGATTTCATTGGTCTCTTGGGTATTCGTTGTTACACTAGAAATGTTTGTGAGAAATTTCATCTGTAATCACTAGAATGATGTCAGTTGTCATTTCTTTATTTTAACTAAGTCATCCCCTATGGATCTGCGGCTTAACTAACTCCCTTTACAACATTCTGGAATGTTAAGAGAACTGCTCGATCTCACATGGTCAGCTCCCTATAAATAAGGGATTTGGTCTCCCGGAGAGGGACTTTTCCCAAGACATTCTCCTTTTCACCTGATCCTATGTAAGCCTTTCCACAACATATCCTCTTCAATGTCTGAACCTCAACTTTCAGAAACCTACAGACTGTCCTTATGCGGTTGTCTCACGCTCCCTTTTTGCAAGTGTTGTCCTCTCATCCTTCTTGATACAAAACATTCTTCATCAAACTATTTGATTTCTAATCTAAAAATATAATAAAATGCAACTAAAATAACAAAACCAGACTCTTTATATATAGACTAAAAATTTAGGAGCTTCACATAAACATGCCTGGGATTCCCTCAAGGGACTAGGTATAGAGGCAGATGGATGATCTTGTAGAAAGAGGAATGCAAGATGTTTAACATCACATTAACTACCTGAAGTGATGCAATTGGGAGAGAACTAAACAGATTGAAAGTTTCACATGCTTGAATTATTGAGTGCTTGAATATGTTTGATTTTTTCTACATTTTCACTTTGAATATATTTTATATGTTATGTTTATGTATTTTAATTTGAGCTAATAGGCTTTCTTAAAACATTTAGTTCTTATAAAATTTAAGTTTGCATTTTTTAATTTGTTTTACATTTTTTTTAAAAAAATTTGTCTTGCTTTAAAAAGGCATGCGCTTTGCCTTTGGCACAAAAAGCCCCTTGCACTTTAAAACACTAGCTGGATGGTTACAATGTGTTAGTTCTTATTTGTGCTTGATTTTTGGATGCAGAATTTCTTGGCTCTCTGTGCTAGTGGTTACTATGATGGTACTATATTCCACCGAAATATTAAAGGTTTTATGATCCAAGGTGGGGATCCAACAGGCACTGGCAAAGGTGGGACCAGTATTTGGGGAAAAAAGTTCAATGATGAGATACGGGAGTCTCTCAAGGTAAGGATCAAAAGTTTTCTCAATACCATGAACTACTTGCAATTACAATCACCATTTCTATTCCACAGTTATCCAACTCTGCTTGACCTTTGCCATTTTTTACACCCCCAAAGAATAATAAATAAATAAAAAGACCTAGGCCATTGCACTGGCTTTATGTTAGCCTCTAATAATGTATTAAAGAAATGTTAGCCTGGGGCCTAGATGTCTCCTTGCATCCAGTGAGAACTCTATATTGGTTTTGCCACCTAAGATGGTATGTTATCCTGTATCGCAAGTATAATACAAGGCATCCTCCGCTTTCTTGATGCATCTGTTTGACTGCATACTGTGTGTTTTTTGGCCAATTTGGATATGTAGCACAGACCACATTCTTTTGTGTTCCTCCAGGTATCTTGATTGCTACCCTGTTAATATTTGTATTGTATAGCCTTAACAGGGTCTTTTTTTGGGTATTCTAATTGGTTATTATTTTGTTCTCTATAGCATAATGCAAGAGGAATACTTTCAATGGCTAATAGTGGACCCAACACCAATGGAAGTCAGTTTTTCATCACCTATGCGAAGCAGCCACATCTGAACGGATTGTACACTGTGTTTGGAAGAGTAATTCATGGGTTTGAAGTCCTCGATCTAATGGAAAAAGTAAGTGATTTATGTTTAGATACATAAAATGTCATTGCTTGTTATGTCTTATCCCAAGCCTAAAAAGATAATGTTCATGCAATTGCAAAAGTATAGTCACAATAGGCTTAAATCTTCTGATTAGAAGAGAACTTTTTTTCACTAATTTTATTATGAGAAAAAAATTAGAAGATACTGACTATTGTGGGTTTATGTAGACTCAAACTGGACCTGGGGATCGACCTCTTGCCGAGATCAGGTTGAACCGTGTAACCATCCATGCAAATCCACTTGCTGGCTAAGACCAATGTCATCGGAAATCTGTCTTCATTTCTCAGCTCTGACCTACCTGGACTATTTACCTTGTTGAATTCCTGGTGGGCTCAGGAAGCAATTGACACTGATTGGATAAAGCTTCTGGAATACCTTCTCACTTGTGCTTTTGATTTTATATCCAATTGTTTTGAAGGGAAAAAATTAATGAGAAGTTAGTACTTAATAGGGGTTATTGGTGCTTAACTGTAAAATGATGTATAGCAGCAGGCTGAAAACCAAAGATATGTCCTTGCACTCCTTGACAATCTGGTAAGATCCAAGAAAAGCCCCTTCGAAGTTCAGATTGCAACCTTTCAATATAGGTATATTATGATGTTTGGTAGCTTTAATGTCATGTATATGGTTTATCAATCCCTAAATAAATAAAGGGTAAAAGACTTAAATATACCCTGAGTTTTCATAAGTCGACTTAAACATACCCTGAATTTTGTAAATAGACTTAAATATACCTTGTGGGCTGCCCCCAGTGGACTTAAACATATCCTCATTTCTTCTCCCATTTCATTTACCTGTTTTAATAGCCTAAAATTCCAATTTTACCGTTTGAAAATACTAGACTCTTCTAGAACAATATTTCTTGCTCTGTTTCTGACTTTATGCAACTGCATTTGCAACAGTTTTCAGATAAAGATAGGGGCCGGTGAATGAATAGCATAGTGGGGGGGGGGGGATTAAAATAGGGGACCGTGGTTGAGGGTAGCAATAGAAATGCAGTTCAGTGATGGTGGCGGGTTGCAGATTGAAGGAACAGACAAAAGAGAAGCAAGAAGAGGGAAGGGGAAGAAGAGAGGGGCAGAGAGAGAAAAGAGGTGTAGCAATGAGTTGTTTTTATTTTCATTGCCACTTTTGTTATGTTCAGCGGTGAAGGGTTGAAGGGGTGGAGGAAGGGAAAGAAAGAAAGATGGAGGGGGGAGGGAGAGAATGGGGAAGATGAGGCAATCTAGCTCTCTGTATTTGAACGGTGATATTTGGGAGACGAACAATATCTGGGTATTTTTTGTTCTTTTTGAAAATTTAAAGTATAATTAAAGGTAAAAAAGTATTTTTAATAGCCACAAGGTATGTTTTAGTCTATTTGAACATCAAAGGGAATGTTTAAGTAAATTTATGAAAACTCAAGTATGTTTAAGATTTTTACCCATAAATAAAAGGGTTTGAACTCTATGAGTGCCACTAGTGGTGACAAGTAGATTTTTATGCCAGTGAACTTGAGTCATTATTGTATAGTTTTTTCGTTAGGTGATATTGTATGTGTTTGGTTCCGTGGGTGTATAGGCTGTTTATTTGTACCTTCTCACTTTAAACATTTATTTGTAGTTTTTCACTTTAAACGTTTATTTGTACTTTTTCACTTTAAGAGGGTGTTTGGTTCTGTTTACGTTTATTGACGGTGCCACATAGGCACCACTTCAGTATTTTCTCTCTTGCTCTTCTATATGCATCGAAAATGAAAAGAAGTCAACTTTGGTTTTTGTGCATGCCATCTGTTTGTGGAATTTTTTTAAAGCTTCCACAAACGGCTAGGCGTTTTTTCACTATTATGCTGATGTGGAGCTTGGTGGTACCTAATTGTCATAAGCGGTTATAATTATTGCATTTCTCGTTTTTACCAGCAAATAAAGTACAAACGTTTATTCAATAAACATAAACGGAACCAAATACATACTAAATGTTTTTTGTTTTTATTGTTTGGTTGGGCTTCACTTTAAATGTTTTTTACTCTCTACCTCAGATTAATACCCATTAAAGTGTATCATATCAACATTTAGTTTTAAGAAACGTTGGGGCGTTGGGGGGAACAAGAATTTGATGTTTCCCTAAATGCCCTATGCACAAAAATCAAAGCGTTTCAGTTTTCTACCATTTATTTGATAAACGGTGAAACCAAACAGTTGTTTCATTTTGCTTCATATGCAATAAATGCCAACGCCTATGTGGTGTTGATGTGGTAGTGTTTTTTTAATAAACGTGAAACCAAAAACATCATTTGTCTATAGTTTGGGAACATTGGAAGTGGATTTCATGAAATCTACAATTTCCAATTTAGATAATTACTTAATTTCAGTCATATTTAAAATATTTGAATTTATAATATTATATAATAGAAAGAGGAAAGAGGGGAGGTGAGGGGTCTTTCACACATACTTTCTATTCCTATCATTCCTCACACGTGTGTTAGTTACTTTTTGGATAAAATTATCAAAAAATATGAGAAGTTAAAATTAGAAAAACCTCTCCGTTTTAATTGTCTCTAATAAAATCATCCACTTCTCAAATAGAAACCCCCTTAGGTATTCTCTCCATTAGGGATAGGGATAGGGAATCACTGAATTTTCCTTGTACCAAGACAATCACCTAAAATTACATTAGAATTCAGTATATTTTAGAAATAGGATTTTGAGAATTTGAGGGTATTTTTAAAATGGGATTATGAGATCTTAGAAGTTTTAGAAATTTGGGAGAAATTTAGAGATATTTTAAAAGTTAATATTAAGGATAAATTACAAAGACCCCCCTGTACTATGACCGTGAGACAAAGACCTCCTTCCATTGAAATCGAGTGTTGCAATATTTTTTAATTTCCATACTGCCCTTGTAATAACTATTCGGAGAAAAATATTGTTCATCTTCCTCGACCTCACGATGCACGAACAGTAGCGGCGGACTTCCGAAGTCCTCCCTCTCTTCTTCCCCTTCCCCTTTCTCTCCTCCCCTTTCTTCTCGATTTCCTCTGTTTTTTTTTCCTTGCAGGTGAATGATCTGAGCCAGATGAGGAAGTGTATCCTCCTTGATATTGTAGGTTTTGAGTTGAACCACTCTCAAGCCTTCCATTTGGCCCTTTAAAGAGTTCCAGAGGTGATGTCCAACCACGAGTTGTGCTGGTCTCAATTGTTGCATTATCCTCTCCACTCATGGACATTCTCTCATGTTTCAAAATTTCTATTTCAAAATGTAGTGGAAATAGTTTCTGCACAATGGGAGAGGATGAAGGAGACCTCTCTTCCAATGGATTACTGCTGTATGAGGAGAAGTATCTCCTGGAAGATCCCAATTTAGGTAGGCTGCCACCCTCAAGAGAGGAACTAAATAGTTGAAATGGTAAGCTTGGTCTAGATATGTGAACCTGCTAGTTTGGAGTCTTTGCTGGAGATTGAGAGGTACTATTACTTCTCTCTCCTCCAATTGAAAGGCACCCGGAAATTGGCTTCTTCTGTAAATGAAAACCACCTGCTTGGTCAAGGGAGTTCAAATTACTTTTATCATCACAACTTTTGCTATTTCTTTGAGAAAGAAGTGCAATAGCATTAGGTGTAGCTGCTGCCAAAGCAGCTGATAGAACAACAAGCAAATCCATGGTAGAGGGAACATGTGTATTCCCATTTGTCTTATTCAGGCTGTCTGAAGAAGCTTCTTGTGAAACATTCAAGTCAAAACTACAAGGTACAGGAAATCTTGAAGTAGAATTTCCAAAGAAGAGCAAAGCGTTAATCTTGTTAAGAATTTGAATAAGTCGTTATCTGGAGTTGATGGACCATTGGCACTTTTGTCCACATTGTTACCTATGATTGCATTGATAATTGGATCGAGTAAAATCCTATGGTATGTCAAGAACTATTAACACCATGAGAAAGTCCATCTTACCTTGGAGTCGAGATAAAATAATTAACAGATTAACAACATCCAAATTCCCACTACCAGAATTCTCCAGGTTTCGATGCACCAATAGCCGAGATAAAATAGTTACTCTCTCTCTCCATTTGCAAGGAACGAAAGACAGAGGAAATCAGGAAGAAGAAATGGGAAGGGGAAGAAGAGAGAGAGGGAGGACTTCGAAAGTCCGCCACCACTAAAACAACTATCGCCGCTGTTGTTTGTGTATTGTGAGGTCGAAGAGGATGAATAGTGTTTTTCTCTGAATAGTTATTACAAGGGTAGTATGGGGATTAAAAAATATTGCAACAACGGATTTCACCAGAAGGCTAATGGAAGGAGGTCTTTGTCGCAAAACAAAGTACAGGGTGTCTTTGTCACAAACCCCATAGTACAAGGGGTCTTTTAATTTACCCTAATATTAAACTTAGGGGAATTTTAATAATTTATCATTGGGTTTAAAACGGGTTTAGGGGATTGTATGCAAATCATGTCATTGTCCCTTCCTCATTTGAGATTAGGGAAAACTTATCCCATTTGGGGCAAGGCCAAACAAGGCCCCAATTTTATTGATAAAATTGCCATTTATATATATATATATATATATAAGGTTGTCCAAGTGTAGTTCTTTTTTTTTTTTTTAATTCTATATATTGCTATAAGCCTCGATTGTTGGCCAACTGCTGGTGAATGGTGGCTCAATTTGTATGACCTCAGGCTGGTTGTAGTTGAGATGTGGGGTCAAATCTTGTTGCTACCAAGTGTTTTTTTATCAATAGGAAGGAATGTAATGGGTATGGTGTTATGCTACACAACAACCCGTGGGGGGATACGGGTATACCACCAACATAACAAAAAAAAAAAAACTCTGATTATTACAATGATGATTGTGTTACCAAATAAGCAAAATATTTATGGCCCTAGGCCTCACTCTACTATACCCTCTTGGCATAAAAGGCTTTTAATGTTCCATAAGATCAACAAAATTGATGTTCCATCATAAATTGAATGGTTAATTGACAATATAATATATGTCTTAGCATAAATTAAATAATAAATAGTACTTATTAAAACTAATAATTTGTATTTTATTTTGTCCATCGATTTTACTTCTTGTTATGATGTTATGGCTGAATCTAGATTTCGATCTCATAACATTTTAGCCATCTTTGGAAATAACTTCCTATTACACCGAACTGGGCTTATTTGGCTTTTATCAAAATTCTAATAGGTCCAGCTTAAAGCTTGAACCATAAACAGTGTAATGTTAAGCCTAAAGCCTGACTCATGGACAAATCTACTGTCCATGAATGAATACAAGTATGAAGATGTTTCCAATCCCATGAATGAATACATACTTATATGAAGATGTTTCCAATGCATGGATGCGATTGTTGTGAGGAAATCCCATTATGCAAAACATCATAAAAATGATTTGACTTTTGACACAAAAATTATATGGGCACACCAAATCTCACGGGTGATTTAATATGATATGGTCACACCACATTTTAGATCCAATGATGTGCATAGGGTTAGGGCTGTTATCGGATTGGATTTGGATCGGATGCAGCCGATGATTACTGATAGCATACATCCGAATCCGATTGGATATAAAGACTCGGATTTGAATCCATATCCTAACGGACTCGGATTGGATTCGGATTTAATCTGACTCTACTACAAATTTTTTAAAATATCAGAAATATTGAAAGTTTTATTTATTTTTAACCTTTATATATAATAAATTAATATAAATATAACTCACTAAATTTATTATATACATAAGTTCACATATAATATAATATATAAAATATATTTTTATAATTTTAAATATAATTATATAAAACTTATATATTAAAATTAATAAATGTTATATTATAATTGGATTTGGATTTTAATCGAATCGGATGTGATCAAATCCAAATCCAGTCTGATTATTAATTAGATGTAGATTGTAACATCCGAATCCGATCCAATTACATATATACATTATCTGAATCCCAAATAATGGGATCGAGTCCCGGATTTTCGGGTACCATTGACAGTCCTACCTAGGGTATTTGATGGAAATGTATGAAAGGTAAACCCAAATTTAGTCTGGATATCCTGCACATGTCTTCTTACACATTTTTCTGCACGACCTATCAGAGTGATACACGTCAACATCCTGCGGATTAAAAAATTTATACATGAGAAACATGAAATACCACCACACGGTTAATGGTTTAACATCAAAAGATGCTCTGTTTAAAGGTTCATTAAAATAAAAGTTATAAAACAAAAGAGAAATAGCGATGAAAATAAATCTGTGTTTTCTTAGAAGGTTTCCCCTAAGGCGATGTTGCCAATAATTTAGGAGCTTATGATACATAACTACAGTTTTGATCTTGAAAGCATGATCAAATTACTGAGCTAGTAAAGGGGAGAAGAGAAAAAAATGGAAAGCAGGGCAAGAGAAAAGAGCATTGAATGAGAGAGAGAGAGAGAATTGTTTACTAGCTACAATGATGGCAGTGATTGGAATGGAAACTTCTCATCCCTTCCTTTCTCTCTTTGGTTTGATCATCAACAAGGAAGAAAGAGAGGAGACCCATCTCTCTCTCCTTCTTCTTCTTCTCCCAACACCACTCTGCCTCTGTTTTTCTCTATTTTATCCATTCAATCTTATATCTTCTGCAATTATTCCATTTATGTAATAAAAATATTACAAAGAAATTAGGGATGAGTTCAATGGCATCAAGCTTTCGTGGTCTTTCAACAAAAACCCTATCACCCAGGTTTCAGATTACCACTTCTATTCTACTGTCGATGATAGCTTTCTACACACTCACATTCCATAAAGCGTCGCCTGAAACTTATCAGTGGCTCCCTCTTTTTTCGTTTCAATGAATTTTAAATTTTAGAAATTTTGGGAAATAAAGAACGGAAGTAATTTCATTCTGGTTAAATTATTCGCACGCACAAATCCTTTAACCATATAACGTTAATGTGTCTCACTTTAATAGCTTGTGCAGGGAAACGGAAATGTATAGAAATAAATGTACAAGATATCCAGACTCAAAAAACAGAGTGTTTATTTTCACTTTTAAATGAAAACTTTTTTTTTTTTTCAAACATGTACATATCCACTCTAAAACTAAATAAATAAATAAATAAATAAAAGTATAACTTAAAATGGTAATTACCTCCATTCTCAAAACTGCTAATGGTAATTACCTCCATTTTCAATTAATGCTTGTGACGAACTCTTTTTATGAGTAAAGGTGGAATGTTAACCTGACCAAGTCATTGCCTCATTGGGAATAATAGAAAATAAAATATTTTAACACAAATTATACCCAGTGTTTACGGGGTAGTTACAACTCAAGGGCTTGAAATTTCAAGTGTGACACTTTATACCTTGGATCAGGGTTTTTAAAATTGGATCGGACAAGAAACCGTTATGGATCCAATTCCTGAGTTGAATGACCAATCGTTCAGATTGAATAGATGACCTGTTCTAACAAAAAAATTTAAAAAAATGCAAAAAAAAACCATTTTCTGAGTTGACTATTTGATCGCTCAAGTCAACGATTCACTGACTAAATCAATGATTTTTGGCTAAAAAGCGGTTTTGAAATAAAACGGAACAAGTCAGATGAATGATTCCTGGGTTTTCTAGTCTGACCATCTGGCCCGGTCGATTTTAAAAACATTGCTTTCAACTTCTCAAAAATATATACCCAAGCCTAACCATGGGAATTCCATCAGTTATTTTGCACTAAACATTTTAAAATCTCAAAGCTGCCCTTCTTTTCCCCTTTTCGTTCTCATGTTTGAAAAATCACACATTGAAGCAATGTGTTGAACTAATGGGTATAATGATTGTGCAATCTTGCCCCCTTTTTCTAACAACAATTAATGAAGCTTTCTTCATGTCTCCATTTCTATAAATAGTAGCATGAGAAATGAGAGATTTGTTTGAAATTAACATAAATTTTGATAAATAATCAAACAAATAATGAATGCAACTTCTACTCCAAAGTTAATAACTTTTAGAGATTATTAAGTTTTAGATCTATATTTTTTTTGGGTTGGACTATGATATGAAAAAAATAATTGACCAATAAACTGAAATCACAAACGTGGGAGCAAATAAGGTGTTATTTATCAAAATTCATGAGTGAGTTTTGATTGGTCAAAATTCTTTTCATATCATATTATTTTTTCTGCATCATAGATTTTCTCTTTTTTTTTTATCTCAGTATAATCATTATGCCCTCCTAATTCCTATATTGTCGCGGTTATTTTTTTCCAAATTTATGATATTCATCTTAAATAAATTAATAAATAACGGGCACTTTGGTAAATTTATCACCCACATTGGTTTATTGGTTCAGAGTGTATATTTGAAAGAATTAGAACATATTGATGAGAGATGTTCACAATACACGGTGGGTATGTGCTGTGAGGTTGGTGTGAAAGTACAGGATACCTATGTAACTATTTTTAATCGGAGAAAGTGTTGTAAACGAAAGCCAAGCGAAAGATGTATTGATTCCATTGCCGTCGGGATCGCGCCATTAACCAAATTTTATATTTGTTGAGTGCGAACTGCGAAGGGAAAGGAATGATTCTCAGTGGTCAGCTCCACTCGCAATTGCAGAACCGGCGGCCGCTTTTCTCACCTTTTTTCTCAAAGAATGTTCCAACACCAAGTTTTCGTCTTCTTCTTTTGCCCCAAAAAAGCTTCACTTTGTCCTCAGGTCTCTCTCTCTCTCTCTATATATATATATGTGTGTTCACATTCATAAGTTCAAGCAATTTCATCACCTTCAGTTCTTTGTGCAGTCTCCCATTCTGTAGACCATCCAGGTTCGATCTGCTGGAGTTCTAAACGTAAGTCTTCCCCTGTTAACTTTTGTTCCATATCTTCATTTTCCTCTAATACTGTCAAGTGTAAAATAAACAGCTAGGGGTTCTAAAGCTTCACATAGGAGATGTGTATCAGAGAATTTCTCCAGTTCTTTCGAACTCGATCGGGTGCCAGAAAATATTTCCGGGCCGATTCAGGTGCTGTATTTGAACTGTCCTGTAAATTTAAGAATTCTGTATCACTTATTATTGCATGAATATTTGTAAAGTACCGTTTGGCTAACTTGTTCAGAAGATTGAAGGAAAGGGCACCGTTCTGGATATCCTAAAGGGAGCTAACTCTATTCTGCCACATGTAGTCCTTGCAAGTACAGTGTTGGCTCTTATATTTCCACCTTCTTTCACATGGTTTACAAACAGGTAATGGAAGACGTTTTTTTTTTTCCTATTTTTACACGAATTGGGTGCTTACCGAATTGTGAATTGGATTGTTTCTTGTTTTGTTTTCACCTGCTCAGCAATTCTTTTAATGGATTTTCATGGCTAATTTGTTCGCTTTTCCCTGTTTATTGTGCTTGATAGATGCAAATCGTCGCCTACGCAACTAGAATTAACATACGATATTTTATGAATTTCAGACAAGTGAATATGTTGAGATGCAGGGTTACGCACTTATGATCTATATTGGACCTTATTTGACACATCTATGGAAATATCTATTATTATCTTTTATGTCATGCACCTTTTCTCTCTACAGAAGCAATATGGGGGG